ATATCCGTTCTCGAATTTGTTGGTTTCTAGACCAACTACCAAACCAACTGGGTTGGTTCGGAGCATAAATATCGGGGATTTCACATAAGTTTTGGACCTTTTTGATTTGGACGATTAGAACGGTCAAAAATCTATCATATAGTGAAGGGAGTGGATCAAACCTCCCCTTTTTTGAGTCAAAAGCAGTATAATTCTACGCGTTGATAGATATCGCGCTCCATTCACTTGCGGTGTCCTTTGAAATATGTGGCGAAAAATGCATCGCAGGATTGTTGAGGCTACAGATTTGGTTGGCCTAGGAGATTTTCAACATTCCCATCATCAAAATGGTACTATACCCAATAGCAGAGCTTGTAATCGACTCGAAATGTTTTCTTTTTGCTTTTTTGTTATATTACATACCTCAAAATGCGCTTTTTTCGCTTTTTTGTTGCTATTTTGGTTGAATACGAGGTTTCCTTACTGATTTTCACGTCGAGGGGGACTTCGTAAATTTTCGCGAAGTCATGGGGGACTTCGTTTCCTAAAAACCTCCAAACCAACGCGTGCCGGGCCCTGTTAATAGCTATTCTAGATCTCCTTCGAAATCGGACAGCGAAGAATTTTCACATCTTATAAAGATGTTGAAAATAAGCGTTGAGGTAGGAGAAGTGCTCCCTGACAGAAAACACTTCATTCACACCATTGGAGGTAGAGGAAATCTGGGAAAAATCAAAAAAGATTTTTTTACAGGAGAGATAATAATAAACGCTGGCACAGAGATGGGCATCGAGAGAATATACAGGGTGTCCCAAAAATAAGTGCACACTGTTTGATTTTGAATAACTCTCTTATCATGAGGTCTATCGAGAAGCGGTAAGCGCCATTTTGTAGAACTGGCTTCAATTAGATTTACAGTATGGAGCGAATCACCGACCCCTCTTTATTACTATAGGATTACGGTAGAAACTTGGAACATATTGTGTCACTGTGGAAATAGCTGCCGTTTCAAAAATATTCAAAAAGATGTGAAAACTTATGTAATAGGGTTTTTAAGGACGCTGAGTTCAATACTCAACTATTCTCAAGATTGCAAAGCTTTCTGACCGGTGTAACCGCACTTTTTAGGAACATTGAGAAAATGGCCGCTACTGTTTACCTCGCATAACTCTTCAGTGAAGCATCATAATAAGTTGGGAACTTTACAGTTAGAATCAGCAACTGTAATTGGCCTAGTGTAAAAGTTTTCAGTTTGTTCTGATTCCTTTCTAAGGCAAAATATGGCCTTTCATGACCCAAAACCCTCTTTCAAGTTTCTACCGTAATCCTACAGTAATGAAGAGCGGTCGGTGACTCTCTCTATACTGCAAATCTAAGTTGAAGCTCTACAAAATGGCGCTTACCGCTTCTCGAAAAACCTCATAATAAGAGAGTTATTTAAAATCAAAGTGTGCCAGCCACGTCAAACAGTCAACTGCTGGCTAAACGAGCATGCTGATTACGAACACTAATAGTTTTTGTAAATATCCGTCAATTGTATCGATTTTTCAATTTTTTGCAAATCTTGAGTTACGGGACTGGAAATTCGCACAGGGAAGTATAGACTGTACCAACCAGCATTGGTTATGTGACAACGCGCCTGCGACAGCTTGCGACGGTCGATGTGACGCGTGCGACTCTGCTACGCGTTAAGGGACGTCGCATGCGACAGTGCGTCCTCGCAAGGCATACTAGCGCGGTACCAATGCTGGCCGATACAGCCTATAAGCAGGCTTAAGCAAGAAGTGTGGCACACGATCGCTGGTTACGCCCCCCCCCCCCCTTCCCCTCTTATTGCTGTCCCAATAAGACCCCCTGAACTACACACCTAATATAGCAGTACTTGAAGGCCTTGTCAAACATAACGGGCAACATATCCATAATTAGTGTCAATTAACCCCTGCAGACAATGTTTGAGCGAATTCTGAAGTTTTAAGATACTGGGTCACCTAAGTGAAATCGCCATTTTTCAGCATGGTTAATTTTGTTCCAAAGGTGAAGTAGCTATCTGTTTTTGCACTCAAAACAAAGCACTGCTCCTTCTTTGGCCACCTTAGAAATCTCGTTTCAAAAGACCTTCTAACTTTGGAATTAGAAGCCAACCAAAATTTTGTTTTTTCCTATTTTTCGCTTCTAAAGGCTGTGCTTTCACCAAATATTACTCAAAGCTAAGAAGACAAATCAGGATTAAATCACTCTTATGAAATCTATGAGGTCTAGGCTATCGATTCATATAAATAACTTCGCTAAAAATATAAAAATGTTTTTTGATATAGTTAATGGGGTGTGGCACGCATCACCCATAAAAAGCTGCGGCTACACAGCTTTTAGGGGTGGTGCCACACCCCATTAACTTACCTTCAAAGAGATCAAATAGCTGCATTTTTTATAACGTTGTTACTGCTTGACCTTCTTCTTTACATAGCAGAAATTTTATATGAAACGTTTCTTCAAGAGCAAGATATAATGTGATGTTTTTTCCTTACCTATGCAAATGTAAAATACCGGTAAAATACTGCGAATATATTGAGATACGGTAACATGCTATGTCTGCGCTACTAAGTGAATCGCAAGGGAAGGCGACAAGAACGTATACATTCGATAGCAGCCTCGTAATCTACATTAAAGTGATTTGAGCCTGGATGGTCTTCTGTAGCAGAGATATTGAAAACGAAAAATGGAACAAACGAGATTTTGGCTTGCTCTTAATTCCTTGATTTGGAGGTCATTTGAAGTAGGATTTTTAATGTGAGCAAAGAAATAGTAGTTTGTACTAAGCGCAAAAAGAAGTAGTTGACTTACCTTTAAAACGAAGTAACATGTTTGAAAGCGACCATTTCACTAAAGTGGTCCTGTATTTGGAAATCTCAGAATTCGCTGAAACTTGGACCACAGGGGTATTTCACTTGCTAGTTACAAAACGATACTCTTATGCTTTATAGATCTTCAATTATGCTTACTGTACGGACGATAATGGGTCAAACATCAATGTGCTAGTATTTTGCATGACAGGCCGATTTGACATTGATAACGAATATCATGTTATGCGAACAGCGGACGTCTTGATAACAACTCCCCTCCCTGATTCCTCAAAACTACCCTCAGGTGTGTCATACCCCACACTTGACCCTGCCTCTAAGTGAGCATGTTGATTAGGAATATAGGAGCCTGCAGGATCGCGAGAGTCGGACGTGCGTACGGCCATTGCGCCGCGCACGTCAGATGCGTGTCCGACGACTCAGGTAGGTGCCAGACTTAACCTGTTGAACAGGTTCATTCGGTTCACCACCTTCGCTGTTGGACAGTGTAGTGATTTGACCTATAAACCGAACGAACCGGCAGAAGCGGAGAAGTCTGGCACCTGCCTTAGTGACAACGGAGGTGCGCGGCGCAATGGCCGTACGCACGTCCGACTCTCGCGATCCTGCAGGCCCCTATACAATGTTAGTTTTTGACATTATCCCTTACTTTTACCGATTTTATCTATTTTTTGCGTTGTTCGAGCTATGAGCAGGGAGCTGGGAGCAGGGCTCAGCAGAGGTGGCGTTTTCACACGCCGAATGTCTTTTTTCTAGAGGGGAGCAAAACGGAAATCGTGGTGTTTTCAGAGTTGATTCCCGGCTCCATGAAAACATCCACAATTCTTACTCTTATTGTAAGTAGGCCCAAATTGGAGGCTCTAGTGCCATTTTACCACTAACAGGTAAACTAACATGATACGAATACGATTAGTGCGCGAACTGCGCACGATTTCCAACGTGTTAAAACTGATCTATATACATAAAAATATAATCATTCAGTTTGTTTACAATCATTAAGCAACACTGAAGCACCAAATTTGGTGTATATCTTCGCGACAAGAGTGAAAAGAAAAGTATGGAACAATTATGAAAAAATTATGTGATTGAAAGGAATTGTAAGTGTTTTGGCTGCTCCCGCGCAATCCGGGAGCACCCTGGGGTTGCGCGAGTCTTGACAAAGTCATAATCTACCACCTTCCTCGCATAATTTTTGGAAAATGTTTACTAAATCTATTCTCTGAGTCAAGCTCTACACATGAGCACTCAATTCAGCCCAAGTTTCGACCCCACCCTTTGCTACGGCACATGATGGTATAAAAAATCTCATTCTTTTTGTGTTCTGTTGCTTTTTATCTCTAAGTAGTTGGCAAATCCGGCTCCGTCCGGGCCTGTTAATAATATATTTATAATCAGCATGCTCGATTACCCCTCCCCTCTGTGCCAACTCCCAGCCCTGTAGCTCAAACTTTGCAAAAATCGATAAAATCGATATCGATCAATAACGAAAAGTAGCCTGTGACACCCGCTTTGCCCTATATGTGCCAACTTTGGTCCCGATCTGTTCAGAAATGAAATTTTCTAATCGGGACATACGTACAGACAGACAGACATACAAACAGACATTCAGCTATATATATAAGATTTTCTTGGTCTTTTCTACACTGTCCATTCATCATTCTCTGCACAATAAAGCCTACTTCCACAAGTCTACAAAAGGTTACTCGTAAATCTCTGCAATATCAAAGGAGATTTCGTTCTCAAGATCCTCAAATGCAACCTCGTGCTGGGCCCTAGCTGGGAGTTGGCACAGGGAGGTAAGTGAGCATGCTGATTACTCTAACACAGCGGGGAATAGGGAATTGGCATGTAGGAGTGCGCACAGGGAGAGGTTTAACAGGGATAGGTATGGAACTGTCGTGTGTTTTGACTGGCCCGGGCGGAGCCGGGTAAGCCAACTTGTTTTACCGTATGTGACCTGACGCCAGTTCGGGCAAGTGGCTGTTGCAACTGTCGGCTCCCGAGTGCAACTTGCTACGCACCCCTTTAACTTGCAACACTTCGCAAATATTTGTAATAATTAAGTAGATTTAGTATCTGATGAGCTTCTGCCGCGAGGAATTTAGCTTTTGGAATACTCATAGAACTCTCGAAAAATTGGCAAAAAAGATGAAATTTTTTAACCTTAGCCTTGACCCCACATTCGGCTACTTTGTCCAGTGTTGGCTGTATTTTCTTGAATAAGTACTTATAAGCGTAACCATCAAGCGAGATAATAACGAGGGGAGGGTGCGGCTGCAAATATCTGTAATGCAATTAATTTCTGCATGTCACACGGCGAAGAAACTTACTCGAGTTTCTGACAGACCAATGAGCATTTCGACTCCTTGTTTGGAAGGAAGATAAGCCAGATAATAACGGCTATTATTGCGAGTAGAACAAGTATTGCAATTGCTTAAAAATAAAGATTTGTTTATCATGCAAAGAACACAGAAGACTTGGTAAACTATGAGTAGTGCACATTCTGCACAGGGTTAATAATTTATTCAAGAAGGCTTTGCGAGCACTGCCCTTACAATAAAAAGCACAGTGTATTTTGCTTCATCTAATCATTGTACCCAAAAACTAAGCTGATACTTTTTACACATATGTTTTCAGCCTCGGAGGATGACTTAGACTATTTTTGGAACCGATCGATTGCTCCCTCTATCGATTCGCTGATTTTTCCACTTTGCATCAAGAATACTTACATCTTACAAGAAAATGGTCAGAACTCAAAGTGGCCAAACCAAACAAGCTGTATACCATTCGATGCAGTATGAAACGCTGACTTCGAATTCGTCTTCCTTATCTGCTTATCGCTTCTGTGAACGAAGCTACAAGCAGTTTTATTGTGGAAAAATTGTACATAAAAACTGTGAAATTGAGCACATTGTTGCAATATCAACTCAGCTTTAGGTTTTGAGAATTTGAAGTAAGTTAGCTGCATGTTTTGGTCCAGCATTAAGCCGAATGTAGCTCTGTACAGCCAAATTTTCACTTTCACGCATAATTTCTTAGCAAAATATTGAACTTTATTGGCTTACAGCTTCTTCCTGAAAAACGATAAGCAGGTGAAAAAGACAGATTTAGAATCAGCGCTTCGTGCTGCATCTAACGGTATGCAGCTTGTCTGGATTAGCCACTTCGATATCTGACCATTCCCTTGTTAGCATCAACGTCATTTATTCTGTGACAATGAAACACGGAACCGCTTTGCACACATGGTCTAAACAAGCTTGGACTTTACCTGTTTTCAATTAGCAAACTAGACCAGGTAGATCGCAAGAACTTGTTAAACACACTGTTAGGCTGCGTTCATACTGATGTCGAAGTCCGGGAACAGTTCCACCACAGCGCTCATTCCAAGCGCTGTGCTGGAACTGTTCCCGGACTTCGACATCAGTATAAACGCAGCCTAAGCTTGTTCTGAAAATGTGTGCAAAACGTTTTGAAATCTCCTGGTCACTGAAAGGTGAAAAAAGCTTTGTAAAATTTTGAATTCTTAAGGCATAGATTATACGCGGTGGCAAACTAACACCAATTAGCAGCGTAAATTGTGAATACTTCAGAGTTAAGAAAAAAACATTCTTACTCACCCCCGAGGAGAATGGTCTTGACATTGTTACGCTTAGGGGTTGATTTGCTCGTTTTACTTGCACTCTCGACTTGCTCTTCCATCTTTTGTGGATCTAAATATAAGTCTCAGATCTTATGACACACAATACAAGCCAATATCCATGCTAGTTTCAGGGTGCTGGCAAAGACAGCTGGATGAAAATTGCAGCCCTATTTGAGCAGCATTCGTACATATGGCTAGCTGGTGCACTGAGTGACTTTCTGAGCAACTTGTAGGTTTTCAAGATTTTTTTTAAAAGCTTATTCTCAGCATTCATATTCCTTTCGAATGTTTCCCAAAACTGTATGTCAAACTTTTTGCTATTGTTTGATTGCCGTTTTGTAGGGTTTGCTTTGCTCTATTTGGTACGTTTCACAAATTCTTACTTCTTTTCTGACCCTGTAATGTAAAACGTGCAGTAATTTGTATCAAGCCAATAACATCGCGTCCGCTTACCTAAAACTTATTCTTTGACAAAAAGTCTCAGAGGACTGGCGCATGCAAGCTGCTTACATAAGACGTTGAGTTTTATGAAATTCTGTTTAATGTTTATTATATAAATAGTCTTTGTAAGTACATCAGGCGTAAAAACGCAAAGCGCAGAAAAGCTTGAAATTTCTTTGTAAATGGAATCAGAAGTGGTGTGTGACGGATCAGCAGATTCAGAAGAAAAATTCATAGTGGCTAAATATACGCTAATTTATGCGGTTAAGGATCGCTCTTACTACGCAAAGTTAACAACCTGGCTTTTCAATTTCTTGCGCACTCTTGCCTTCGTCGCAACTGTCTTTTGGAAAAAATTTTGGAAGCTCCATCGTTCAGCTTGAGTTAAAATTCGAAGTGATTTAGTTTTGAGAGTTTCCTCTCTAGTTCGAGATAAGAGCTGCTTTGGTTGAACTTGTCGAACCTTTCAACTCAGACGACCAGCGTTTGTCACGGCTTAAAGAGAAGGTTTGAAGTTGGACCGACACTTCGTGCTGTTTTTCAGACCCATGCTCAAACCACTTTGAGTAAAGATTGAAAAAAGCTGTGAGTTCTGACGGTTATATTTTTGTTTAGATCTCCTCGATGTCCCCTCAATAATCGGCAGGGATCCCCAACACATAATTTTCACCCATCTTGAGTTTGGCTGTTTTTCTAAAATTTCCATTTTCAGCTTTTGACTAACTTTGTTAACAATTGGATAAAATAAGCAAATTGCAACAATACAGTTTTTCGCATCCAAGTTCTCAAGATTTTTGAAAATATTTTTCTGATGCTATCAAATTTCATATTTGAGCATTCCAATCCTGGCAGAACAGTAAACGACGAGCAACCAGGATGTCATTCGATGCAGATTTCCCTCATCTTTCTGATCGACTTCTTTTTTTTCTGATTTGTATAATGCACGAGGATAAAATCATTTGATTCTGTTTAGGCTGTACCAAGAAATTCAGGAATCCGATATTTTGAACCGCTAAACGCTCAGTTGCTTGCTAAAATTAGTGTTAAGTGAGGACCTGTTTTTGAAATCATCAAATTCTGAAGATTTGTCAGTGTTTGAAGCGATTGTGTATTTCGCGATTTCATGAAGATGAAGGCTTCTGGATCATTTTGAAAAACTGAAAAGTTTGTTGAAGAAGCCAAAGTATTAGATGTGTCCGAAAGTTCTCTCGTTTTATTTTCAAAAATTTGTAACTCTGCGCTATCTCAACGGATTTGCTTGCTTTTAATTTTATTTGAAAGAATGAATTCGCTTTCAAACGCTATTTTGCGGAGCTTCTGTTCCACACAGGGTGCGGATTTAAAAATGGAAAACTAAGCCCATATAAGCTTTGATAATTTTTAGTTAGCTCACCAAAAATCTGGAATGCTGCAAAAAAAATTTGAAAATCGTTGCTACATATGTTTTTTGTCCTGTCTTTGCAACTCTGAAAAGACTGTTCAGTTTGGACGTGTCTGTAAAAAGTTATGATTTTCGAGTTTACTATGGAAAACGCCAAAATCAATTGATTTGCCAATTTTCTCAAAAATCATAACTTTCCACAAAGACGTCCAAACAGCATAGAATCTTCACAGTTGCAAAGAGTAAGCCAAAAAACATACGTACTGAAGATTTCAGATTTCTCTGCAGCATTCCAGATTTTTGGTGACCTATCTTAAAATGGTCAAAGCTTATATGGTCTTAGTTTTCCATTTCTATCTCTGTGTGAAACAGAAGCTCCACAAGCGAAAGATTTATTCTTTCCATTAAAATTAAAAGCAAGCAAATCCGTTGAGATAGCACAAAGTTACAAATTTTCGAAAATGAAACGACAGAACTTTCGGACCCACCTAATAGTTCATTGTATTGGATTTTGCTTAATCTATCGACTGCTATCATAGCTAGTCCAATAGTTGAAAATTATAGCCAAACTGAAAATGAGTGAAAGTCATGGGTTGGAGATTCCTGTCGATTATTGAGTGGATATCAAGGGCTGAGCAGAAAAACATAGCATAAATCTTTAGTCTAAGCGGTTCGAGCATGGGTCTGAAAACGGCACGAACTTCTGGACCGACCCAAACGACTGAGGATATGAAAGTGAGTAGACAGAAGAACAAACAGAAGAAAAAAACGAGAGAGCACGAGAAAATATTTTTCAGAAAAAATCAAAGTTAGTTGCATTTATGCAGTAATGATCGTCACAAAGATGGGAATGATGTTCGGAAAAAAAAAGAGTATGAGCTGATAAAAACGGAAAAATCTTAGACAGAAACATCACAGAAACATGCAATTTTTTGAAGACTTTAGTCAATGTTCAAATTTTTACAAGCAGAAGAGTACTGAGTCTAATGAAAATTAGACGAGTAATTCGCAGTACTAGTCATTATCAATTTGAAAAAGACTGTCAGAAAAGAAAAGAAATAGTTTGAATGTCAATTTGACTGCTAAAACAGTGCACCATTTAGCTGTAATCAAACTAATCTTTTATGTAAACAGTCACTCTCAAACAAACATGAACACGCAACAATTTTATTGCAACCCAATTTGCGTACTGTTGTTGCGAATTTAGTAACTAATACCGACTGAATTCATAACTTACTCAGGAAAATTACGCAGAAAAAGTCGGCAGTTCGGCGGGAGCGCTTGTATGTAGGAGAGTTTTTTTGAGAAAAAGGAGATTTTTTTGAATGCCTACAAGAGAATGGCTACATAATTTATTCATTTGATAAAGTATCAAATGTATGTAGTAGCGATGCGATTTAAAAAAGTACCCTAATTTCACGCGTACAAGGCGCGGGGTGGTCCTAGCTTTCATCGAGCTGCTCAGCCGCCCCAACGTGTTTTAAGAAGCGATTTTTATGCCGCACGATTCGTCAGGCAAAACGCAGCACGATATGGGGTTCCTTTGGTTGCGAAGTCCTTTGCCGTGTTCGGGCTGGTCGATGAAAGCTAGGACCACCCCGCGCCTTGTACGCGTGAAATTAGGGTATATTAAAAGTATGGGTATAGTAATGAATAGCAGCTCAAAAGTCATTTTTTTTACACATTACCCACAAGTCATAAGTTTCACTCCACGTATTGGCTTGATTCATTCTTTTAACAATGAGTTAATAAAGTCAACACTTCGTAGAGCATTTGTTCTACGTTTGGAATAGTATTCATATAAATCATTTCAAAGGCTAAAGAATGCTTTTGCGAGAAGTACATGTCATAATTTCATAATTTTCATAATTTGAGCAGCAAAACCATCTTTCTAAAATCTCGTTTTTCCCTAAACGAATGTAGCGAATGCGATAGCAGTTTTGATCATTGGTAGTGGATAAATATACACTAAAGTACTGAATTTTCGATTCATGAAACAAATAAATTAAGCGATTTGTGTGTAGTTCGCATCTATCCAGCAGTAAGGAAAAATTTCACATACACGTGCAAGACTAAAATCCCAAATGACTTTTCAAGATTGGATTGTATTTTTATGAGAGCTTTACTTAAACATTGCAGGATCGTTAGCGAGAAGCATAATTTTGTAAGGAAATATTTTGTGGGCAAGAACTTCACGGATGAATCTGGGTTTTTATGTATGAAACATGTTTACGGCTTTTTGTATATCCTCTTGTAGATTGAAAATAAACGTATGCATATGCTTTGAATGTTAAACATTGGGTATACATATGCTTTACTATTATTTTTTTCCAAGTCTTCCCTTATTATTATCATAATCCTTATCCGGGAATCGGAATGTGCCAGTTGCTTGAGTTGACGAGAACAATCAGTATTCGTATGTTACCTCAAAATTAATCCTAAAATCATTACTTCAGTAAAGCATAATTGTATTATTTGATGAAGGTTCTCTCAAACATGTTAACCAATTATACCACGGAGACAAACTTGTCTAATAAAATTTGCCATCTCCTCTAATTTGAGCAACTCCTAAAATAGAAGATTCAAAATTCGAATTATGCGCACCTACAAAGTGACCCTTGTTTTCTGTGCTGACTGCTTATAAGCAAGATCATTAAGTTAAACCACTCCGCTTGACAGACTGTTTAATACGCCTCAAAATTGAGGTAGATTTTGTATTAGGGGGTCTTGAAATGATTAGTTCTCGTAATTCTTAATAATACTAGTAAATAATACGTAGTTTTAATGGATGTTTTGCAAACGGAATCAATTATAATACAAGACTTCCTTACAAGAGAAGGATATTTGGTCGAAGTGGCGTTTTCAAATAAAATATACATCTTCTTATAGAGCATTGAACGCTGTTTCCAAATCTGCTTTTGCTACCTGCAAAGCGCTTCTGAGAGGGGAGTTGTGGAGATTTTTTTAAAGCAAAAATGTGAAGTCGGTCATTGGGAACTGTAGTCTGTGAGCTCAAATGGGACCATGACTACTGCTAGGAGGTCTCTATGCAATTGAGATTTTCAGTCTAGCACTCACGCTAATCACTATTCCTTACAAGCATCTAAAAGAACTCAACTTTTCACCTTAGCCAAACCCTTGAATGTATATATCAAAAAGTTCCCATAACTCTCGTCACAAAAGCGCTTGCAGTTACGAAAAGCAGATTTGGAATCAGCGTTTAATGCTTATAAGTATCCATTTTGTATGGAAAGGCCACGACCAGATATCCTTCCCTTGTTAGTTCACTAAGTGAACATATCGCCTTTAATACCATAACTTTTACGATAATGAGTGCTGTAAGCTGGTACATAAAAATCCGATATGAGTTCATAGTGGGTGTACAAGATAGTGTCAAACCATAGTAATCAAGCTCATAGTCTTAATTTCATTAATCATACTGAGTACTACTTGAGAAAAATCGAAAATGCATTTCAGCACTGACTAGTCTATAGAAGACATCAATATTGTATTTTTTTACTGAATTGACGAATAAAGGCATCGTAAAATAGAATGAACAGCCTAGCTACAGCTGGCGTACCAGGATATAATTTGGCGAGCCTATATTCAACTATTCATCCAGAACTCGAATTGAGAAAAATAATTGCGAAAGTTGAACAGGATTAAAAATGGTGTTGCAAATTTCTACTTTCATTTTCACTTGAACAAAAGAAAGCAATGCTGTTTCCTGGTAAGCATCTACTCAGAACTTGCTGGAAAAAAAAGTAATGATTGAACGTTGTAGCGTTTTGATGATGAGTGTAAAAAAGAAACTTTGAGCTTAAAGTGAAGTAAATAACTCTAGTAACTAGGAATCTGTTGCCCACTTAACAGTGCCGATCGATGATTCAGCAGTGCAAAAGTGACATGAACAGCAAAGACAAGTGCTTTGATAAGACTGTGTTCTTGAAAAGACAACACACCTTTTTCAATGCACGCTAGTGGCGGCATCATAATTCAAACTGTAAAAAAACGATTCTGAGACGCACTGGCCTTTGTTACGCAGTTATTACAGAATAGGCGCTATTTTTGCATTACATGTATCTTACAGAGAAAGAAGATTAATTTGAAGTGTTG